GTAAGTAGTATATTTTTTATTTATTTTTATTTTTTTAATTCTATTTATTTTTAGTTTCTATAGAGAGGGGAAGGGAAGGAGAGAGGGAGAGAAACATCAACGTGTGGCTGTGTCTCACACACCCCCTACTGGGGATCTGGCCCACAGCCTGGGCATGTGCCCTGCCTGGGAATTGAACCAGCAACCTTCTGATTCACAGGCCCGCACTCAATCCACTGAGCTATACCAGCCAGGGCGTAAGTAGTATATTTTTTAAGTGATAATATATAATTGTTTGTTGCTGGTGTTTAAAACTGCAATTTATCCATTTTTGTATATAGACTTTTTTCCAACAACCTTGCTAAACTTTCTCACTAGTCAAAACCACTTGTCTATAGGATTTTTAACGTTCTAACTGGACAGTTACTTCTGCTGCAGATAATGGCCACTTCCCTTTTTTGAATTTATATTGTCTTTGTTTTTTTCTGGCCCCACTCAGCTTACGAGAAGAAGCTGTGAGGTGGGCATGGTTTGCCTTTACTTTGATTTTAAAGGAATTTAAAGGATTTTCCACTGTTTTATCATAAAGAAAGATGTTTCTTGTAGATTTGGTGGATCTCAGGAAAAGGAAATTCCTTCCTGTTTCTAGTTTGCTAATTTTTTAAATTTAATTATTAACAGGTATCACAATTTATCAGATTGTGTATGCATCTCTGAAGGTAATTGGTTTGTTCTCCTGACCTCTTAAAGCAGGGAATGTGCCTGCTAAACGCTAAGCCACCTTCGCATCCCACAATGAGTAACCTTGGTCCTGACTTCTCGTTTTTAATACAGTGCTGGCTTTAGTGTGCCCGTAATTTGTGCATGGAGGAGTTTGCATCTGCACTTGAGAGAGAGGTGGGCTCGTGACTTCCCTTGGCCATCTTGCTCTTGGCTGGTGTTGGAGCTGAGTGCACTCCGTTGATGGAAGGAGCTCTGGAGGGCGCCTTCTCTGTCTTTTCCGCACCGGCACGGCGCTTTTATGAAAGCGTAATGATCTGTTCCTTGAAACGTTGTCAGAATTCCTCCATAAAACCACCCAGAGTCTGTTATTTTCTCTGTGGGAACATTTTTTAAGTGACTGATTCCTTAACAGTCAGGAGTTTTGGGGCCTTCTTTTCTAATTAAGTAAGCTTTGCTAAATTGTAATTTTCTAGAAGTTTACCCTCTGAATCCAAGTTTTCAAGTTTATTGGCATAAAGTTATTTATAGCATTCTTTTATCCCTCAAATCCTGCTCAACGTGTGGTTATGTGCTTTTGTGCTTTTCATTCCTAATACCATTCTTTCATTTTTTTTTCTCTATTAATCTTGGTAGAAATTTGTCTGCTTTCTTGGTATTTTCATCAAACTAATGTTAACTTTGTTTATCCTTTCTGTTTTGTTTGTTTTAGTTCATTAGTTTCTGTATTATTATTCCCTCCTTCTTCTTTTTCTGTTTTCTCTCTCCCCAATTTATTAAGGCGGACACTTGGCTAATTAAGTTTGTCCTAACATGTGCATTCAGATCTTTATACATGAGTTTACATTTGCAATGCTGAGCTTTAGCTGCATTCCACAACTTTCATACAGAATATTAGTAACGTAGCTAATTTCCGTTGTCACTTTGTCTTTGACTGACTACTGGTTAGAAGAAGTGTAGTTCAAAAGTTTTAAGCCTTTGCAAGGGAGTTAGTTGTCTTCCTACAATTGATATTGAATTAGTCTGACTGTTAACTGATTCTTTGCAATGTGTTGGTATTTATTTTATGGTTTCGTGTGTCATGACTATTTGGAAATGTTTTATTTGTTCTTAAGTACCCTGTATATTTTCTAATCGGTCTGAATTTTCATACAAATCTCTTAAGTCAGTGTTAAATTGTATCATTTAGATTTTTGCTACATAACCAATTTGCTTGGCCAGCAGTAGCTGACGGCTGAACATCTTCCTCCAGGATCGATCACAGCTCTATCATTTCTCCCCTCCTAGCTTTTTTAATTAGGAGGGCTGTTTGGGGCAGGTTTCGGTTCACAGAGAGTGCAGGAGAAGGTGCCGAGACGTCCTGTGTGCCGCCTGCCCCACACCTGTGCGCCTGCCCCTCACCTGCGCGCCTCCCCGTTACCCACGTCTCGCACCCAGGTGGCGCCTCGGTCACCTCTGCAGCGCTGACCTCTCCTGTCCTCGGCGCCCGCAGCCCGTCATTCCTGCCACGGTCCCCGCCCCTGGGGCGCCAGAGCAGGCGCGGGTGACCCTCGAACCACACGGGTGTGCAGCGCGTGGGTCACTTACGTGCACTGGTCACACAGACCTGTGCGGTGCTGTCAGTGCGCTTCCTCTTCCTCGGGTCTTCATGGCATCTCCTTGCCTCCGGCTCCCTGTGACGTGAGAATGTAGTGCCCCGTACATGTAACACAACATGCGTGCTGACTGTTTACTGTGTTACTCCTGGCAAGGCTCCTGGGCAACAGTAAGCCGTTTAGTGGCTGGGGTTTGGGGGGGGTTAAAAGTTGTACGAGGCCGTTGACTGGGGTCGCTGCCCCTGCCCCGTGTTGTCAGAGAGCCAGCTGTGCTTTCGCCGCCCGGGACTGGGAGGTCCTCCCACCCGTTCTGCTCTGTGTGGTTTGAGGATACTTACGTGCATAAACATACAGAGTACTTGCATCTTCCTGGTGCACCTCTGATCGTCTTGAGTTTCACGGCGCTTTGTCTCAGAGGGTGTTTTTCAAGAATGATTTTGCAGCCTGAACTACGTCACCACCAGACACAGTCGCTGTGTCTCTGAGACAGCCTGCACCTCTTGTGCAGCTCTGCCCGAGAGTCCCCACCGGAAGGCTGCTCCGGTTGCCCGGGTGTGGGTTACATAACAGATAATAGAAACGAGCACTGTTTTATGTGTCTTATTTTATGTCGTTGTGTCTGGTAATGTGTGACGTGGGCCCGCAGCTGCCCATACTTGACAGAAGCTGAGCCGGACGGCTGGGGGATGCGCCCGGGTTCGCACAGTAACAACACAGGGGTGTCTGGTGGTTCCCGCCAGTGACGGGTCAGGAGGTCGCGTAGTTCCACGTCAGAATCCCCTTCACGGTCGTCAGACTTGCTGACATCAGTATTACAACATTGTGGGTGTTGCCTTTTTTCAGTGCTTGCTGCTTAAACATTCCTTGACATGGTAGGAAATGGCTATTCTTCTCATACAGCATGTCTCACGGAGCCACAGACCCATTTCTACGGTGGTATTTTTAGGAAAATTCTAGCACTCTCATTTCAGAACTGTTCTGTGCTGCATCATTATAAGATTTAGTCTGTTGCCTTCATGTGTGAAAGTCAGCCCAAGGCTACAGCCTCTTAAGATCTATTTCCAAGGAGCCACGGAGCCTTGTAATAAATCTTCCCCTGTCATTCTCTTCCAGGAGACGAGAATGAGGATTGAAGGTAAAAATTACAGTGTGACGAGAACTAGATTAGTTTTGGCAAGTTTGACTTGTTTTGAAACTTTTCTAATTTTCCGTTTTAATGCCTCTCAATTAAGTCTAGACAAGAGCTTTGAACTAGGAGGCAGAGGCAGGCCCGACCTCGGCCCCAGCGGCACACTCAGGTGGGCCGGATCAGTCGCCAGCTCCTCTGCCCCTTTCGATACAATTCAAGTTTCAGAAATTAAAAATGAACGCCTTCATACTTCCCTCAGAAATCTTAGTCGGTCAAATTTAATAATGTGCACAAACTGTGAACATGGTATTACTGGAATTTTTAGTGAAAAAATGGAACCTGAACCTCTTTCACACATTAAAGTGTTCGGTGTCGAACCCTGTAAAACGCAAAGCACTCTGCGCCTTCCAGCCGTTGGGGGGGAGTTCGTGAGAATGTGGAAGCATCTCTAAAGGTTCCTCGGTGTCATGTCATCTTAGTTTGTTAGAACACCACACCGAGAGTCAGGTTAGTGAAAAGTAACATTATCTCCCACGGGTTTAGCTGTGAGAGTGCCTAGAACAGTGCCTTCTGCCGGGAGTTTGTTGAATGAATGGATGAGTAATTGCTTGGCACTTCTTGCTCATATTGAGATTTACCACTTGCGTACCTTAGCGTTTAACTTCCTTTGGAATATGTGAATGTGAATTATATATGCTCCTCAGACCCTCATTCACTGTTTGTCGACGGCCTGCGTAAGCCTCAGAGGCAGCAAAGGTCACGAATGAGCTCACCGCAATGAAGGTTGCACGCGGGGCCGCCGTGTAGCTAGCGTAGCTAGCACGGTGGGAGCCCTCGGCCGGCGCGGAGGGGCGGGTGGCACGGATCTCCATCCTTTCTTCCGGGGGCCTGCAGGGGGTGCAGTAGCGAAACGTGTCTTTTTTTTTCTTCTCAGTGGTAATTTTAAGAAAGTAAGAAGGTCTCCTAGAATACAAGCTCCTTGGGAACTGGGAATTTTTTCCTCTGTTTTGCTCATTGACACGTCAGCTGTGCCTGTCACATAATTGGCAGTCGGCGAATGTTTGTTGGGTGAACTGTCCTTTGACCGAAACCCACTGGTACCCACAGACGTCGGCCTGACAGCAGCCAGACAGACCGCCGCATCTCGCCGCTGCTGCCCTGCGGCTTTCCTCGTGGAGACCCGGATCGGTGCCCGATTCCGGCGGCCGGGGCAGCCACCCTCTGCAGAGCTTTCCCGCCTGGGTGTCCTGTGGGAGCTAAAGCCGGACGATCGGCGTTAGTGATGGGGCTGAATGTCGGGGGCGTGGGAAGCTGGAGAGGGCCCTGCCCCCCAGCCCACTCCAGGGAAGAGACGGATGAAACCCCAGCCCCTCCTGAGCTCACGATAGCGCCGAGTTCCTCATCCTGTGTTATCTCGTCAGCGAACATACTTCAAAGTTGTTAGTTGTAAACCACAATGAAATTCTACTCTTTTCTCACTTGATGTTGTTCTCAGCTTCCCTGCCTCATAGGCAGCGTAGTGCAAGGACTTACTAGTGAAGCAGCTCACTGACGTGCGTGTCCTTTTGTCTGTCCAGGCGATGCCCAGAAACATGGTGTCCCGCCTCTGCGAGTCCAAGAAGGTCTGTGCCGCAGCCGACATGCAGCTCCAGGTATGTGTGCACCTTTGTTCCGCAGTTTTCCGGGCCCTTTGCAAAACACGCATGTAACTGTAAATTCTTGCCAAAGCTGCACCTTTATTATAATAATTATGCTTCTAAGACATCTTTCATCTGAGTTCAAAGAACTTGACCAAAATTGACTCATTTGATCCTCACACGGTCCTTACACAGTAGATGTGAAATTAGGTTATTTTCTGTGTGCAGTCTGGAAAATCAAAGCTTGGAAAAGTTACATCATTTTTTCTAAATCGTACATTTTAGCAATGGAATTATCTATTATTCATTTTGTATCTTCTTTAAAATGTTGTTTTTTTAGATGTGAGGTTCCAGAGGAATGACTGTTAGTTTTCGGTGACATTCGGACCCAGTTTCCTGGGTCTCCAGAGAGACCCAGAGAGGCCCGGAGCACAGGGTGTCGGGGCCGCGCCGCACCCGGCCTTGCGTCGGGTGCGCCTCCTGAGCTGGCGCGGCGGTCTCACGCTCCCTGCCTCGGACCCCGAGGGTCCCGTGGCCCACGCACCTGTCTTTCATCTCAAGCATCTCCAAATCGTCACTTCCCAGTGACCCAGTTACCTGTTCAGAGGAGTGGCCACTCTTTAACTTCTTTATAGATTTATAGAACTCGGTCCCTAGAAAGCAGCGAATGAGCTCTGTTTTCGTGGTGTCTTAAAATACCTTCCAGTGAAGAAAACGCCTATCGCAGACGGACAAAATCGCGCTTTACATTTGATGTACGTTACTTACTATCTGTTTACATCAATGTAATTAAAAATGGATTTCTGAATTGTTTGAAAAAGTTAGCATTACTCGGAAAAAGTCTTTTGCTGATCATTTTAGTAGAAGTCTTCATTTAAAAGCCTTTTATTTTGAACAGTTGTTTCAATGATATACTTTTAAACTGGCAAACCGACCTTTCCCTCCTCCTGCTCTCCAGACAGAGTAACCCCCTGAGAGAAGGGAGAGAGGGAGAGGGAAAAAGAGACGGGGGTGGGGGGGGAGAGAGAGAGAGAGAGAGAGAGAGAGAGAGATTGTATCTCGTCTCCTGCCCCAGGAGTCCCTTGTACGGAGACCAGCAAGGGTGGAAGGAAATGAATTGTTTCAGATTTCTAAGGGGCATAAGCAGTGTTTTAATGTTTGGGAGCGATTTTTTTTTCTTTCTGCAGTGCATTGTTTTGCAAATAGGCTCTTATTTTTCTGTGGCCCTAAGGGTCATTCATGGTCCCAGGCATCCGTGACCCCCTGACTCAGCAAAGAGGCTCATCCCTTTAGAGTTGTTTTATCAGCAAGTGAGCATGAAATACAGGCATTTATTTTACTTTGCTCTGTTTTCATAATTTAAAAATAGAAGTCTTCCATACTTATGCCTTTGTGTGTGTGTGAAAGGTATAATCAAAAGAAGGAAACTCTTGAATTTTTATTTGTTTATAGATTGTGGGAAAAGAATACCTACCTCAGTTGAGGTTGGAGTTTAAGAGTTTTAATTTATTCTGTTAGAATACAGACAAGTATGAGTAATTTTGGCTCCTCTGATTGCTTTATGCATTGTTATTCATTATAGAATATAGAATTGAAAGAGCTATATTTAGCTATATGTTTAGATTACAAGGTAGAGTAAAGCAATATTTATATTTAGGAAATGTCTGTATTTTTCTAGGGAAGGTTTAAACTTGACTTTATAATTTAGAACCATAATTCTATATCTAGATGAAGCCAGAAGCTAGAAGTCATTTAAATTTTTTCTTTTATCCAAACTAATCCTCATTTCTTTCAAGTCAACAGCTGCACATTCTCTGCAAATTCCATTTTTGAGTCAGAAAGATACATATCAGAACCAGAATTGCATATCAGAATTTTTCCTTTAAAATAAAGCATTTCCTACTCTCTTATTTCAGGTGATTCCAAATAGTGCTCATAGCCAACTCAAAAAGCATTTTATTTTTACTTTAGATTTTATGCAAAATTTAGTTTTCAGAGCTCTATACCTGTATTTTTCCAACCATAAGACACACCTAGGTTTTAGAGGAAAATAGAAAAGAAGATTTTGAAGCAAAAGTTGTGGTAAAATATTTAATAACATAAATAACATAATATTTCATCAGTGTAAAAGTAAGCAGAACTCAGCAGCAGCATTAACAACCATTATTCCTCCCGAATTTGGGGGGGTGTATCTTACAGTCCGAAACATGCTGTAAGCAGCAGATTTCCCGTTTAAACTTCTGCTAGTGGCTTCTTCTCCCGGTCTGTTTCCATGGCCTGCGTTCTCTGCTCAGAAGTGAGCGGTCCCTCCCTCCCGGTCACTTACCCAGGCCAGCGCCGCCCCTGCGCAGCAGCTGCCGCCCGGAGCTCCTGGCACCAGGCGTGGGGCTGGCTGGGCCCTGGCTGCGGACTGCCCGGCAGCTGCACCAGAATGTTCCGTGCCATCTGTCTTCTCCAGACACAGGGAGCTGCTCCTTTGTCCACCCTCCTCCGCCTTGCGCTCTTCTCCCACCCCTCCTCCCAGAGCTGGGATTCTGGCCGGGTCGTCTCTCTCCTGCGAGCCTTACGGGGTTCCAGGAACAAACCAGACAGGATTTGGTGGGTTCTGGGCTCACGGCGGCAACTGTGTTTTTTTTTATATTTCCAACCGTATTTGTTGCCTGTGGAGAGAGAGGCAGAATTTCAGTTTTGTAGTCACAAATTTAACTTGCTACGTTATTATATGTAAAGAGTACTTACAGATAAGATTTAAAATTCTTTAATATCTTTAATCGCGAAAGGCTGAGAGCTTTCCTTTTCATCATTGACATGGTCTCAAGTGTTGAACAGAAGCACCTCTGAAGCCACACGTATCTATCTGTGTCCGGGATGTTTTCAGCCACGATGTAAAGCCACGGCTCTGGACCCCTGGGGCCCCTCCAGGGGAGCCCGTGGAGGTGTAGGGTGGGCAGCCCCACACAGGCGTCCTCCTGCGTCTCTGTCCTCCTCCAGGTCTTCTACGCCGCGCTGGACCAGACCTACCACGGGCGGCACCCGCTGAGCAGCTCCACCACGGCCCTGCTGCAGGAGGCCCAGGAGCGGCTCTACGGCTTGCCCTACGTCCCCAACACCGTGAGTGCCGCGCTTCCACCCCGGACCCTGCTGCGCGCCGCCGCTGGGCAGTTCTGACGCTGTGCCCGTCGGGGCGGGTCGGGGCGGGTGGGCCCCGGCGGCCTGGCACTCCCGTCGAGGGCTCGCACGGGACAAGTGCCCGAAACGGCCCTGCCCCTCAGCCACTCCAGCCGCGCGTTCGCACGTGCCTGTCCTCTTGCTGGAGGCACTTGTCCGGCTTTCCTGAGCGGCAGGGGTGGCAGAGGGCTGGTGTCAGTGTGAGCTCGGTTCCATTCCTTTCCGTGCGAGGTGACGTGGTTGTCAGCCCCGAATCACTCCGCCCCAAAGAGAGCCGGTGTTCACTGAGCACCCGATTCGCATCGGCGGTCGCAGTGCATGTTTCGCACATGGTCTCTCGGCGCCCTGTCAGTACAGAAGGCAGGACAGAAGCGCCCTAGTATTGCTGCCATTTGTTGAATACTAGGTGCCAGACTCTAACCGCTGTGTAAAAAAATAATCCAATTCAACTCTCAAATCAGCCCGTAAATGAGATAATAGCCCCGCACCCGGGGCTCAGATTGCGGCTCATCCGCACTGGATGTCTTGCCCGAGACCATGTTGCTGGCATGTGATGGTGTAGGACATCCAGTGCAGCCTCCACCGCCACGCTCTCCCGGTGCGCCGGGGGCCTGTGAAGAAGCTGGTGTGGTGGGCGGGCGTGGGCAGGGGTGGGCAGCAAGGTAACAGGCTTCCGCACGTTGCTTGGGGCTCCCGTTTGTGAGTGGCAGCAGCCCAGCCTGTGTTGGTTCAGGCGGACATGCGAGTGCATCGCGTCTCCTCAGTGGAAGGGCAGGCATGCACCTGGTTTCAGCCGGGCTGGGTCTAGTTGGTGCTCACAGAGTGCTGTCAGGGGTGTTCCTCTTCCTTTCCTCGTCTCAGCTCTGCTCCCTGGGTGGCGTGGCAGTTGTGCCGGAGGGTCCAGGGTGACCCCCTGACTCAGCCAGTGTCATAGAAGAAGGGGTGCACTCAAAGCCGTCTGTCCGCTGTCAAATGCCCAGCAAGTGACTTTCCACTTCTTCCAGTGCTGGGCGCCGGCACGTGTGCTAAGAGGATACATGAACCAGTGACCTCTAAGTGTCCTTGATCTTCAGGCCCTGGCACTCAGCCCTGCATGGGAGCCGTTCCTGTGCACCAGACGTGTGGCACCCAGGGCAGCTGACCCCCACAGCACTCTCGCCGGCAGTTGCTGACTGTCTCGAAAGCCTAGCCCTCCCAGATGTGTGCTGCTGACCGCACTCCGTGCCTCTCCTTGACCTTCCGTGTGATTCACCGTTCTGATGACGTGTGCCGTGAGGCTCTGGATTGTCTGTGTTAGTGGACGTTGGTAGTAAGAATAAGCTAACTATTCGTTTGTGGAATAAATCATAATGGTTGCCTAGATTTTAATATAATAGCGTTTCCTGTTTAGAGAACATCTCATGGTTCTCATGCTTTTGTGCTCATGCGTTTTTGTGCTTTGTGGTTTTCTCTGCTTCTCTGCTTACTTTGACATGGGTGTGACTTCTAAAGCAATCATTAATGGACATAAAGGGACAATTCTGTAGTAATAAAATAAAAGTAGGGGATTTTAGTACCCACTCACATTAATGGGGATAGATCAACCAGAGAGAAAATTAATAAGGAAATAATGGCCTTAAATGTCATATTAGACCACATCAACTTAATAGACTTTTTTAGAACATTTCATTCAAAAACTTCCAAGTACATATTTTTTCACATGCATGTGGAATATTTTCTAGTGTAGATTATATATTAGGACACAAAAGAAGCTCAATAAATCCAAGAATATTGCAGTCATATTATCATCTTTTCCAGCCACAATGGCATGAAACTAGAAATCAGCTACAGGAAGAACACTGGCAAAAAAATTCATGGAGACTAAATAGCATGCCACTAAACAACCAATAGATCAAACAGAAACTCAGAAGCTATCTTGAAACAAATTAAAATGAAGATACAACTTTTCAAAATTTATGGAATGCTACATGAGCAGTTTTGTGAGGGAAATTCACAGGCAGACCTCAGGAAACAAGGAAAGTCCCAAATAAACAATCTAACCCTGTGCCTAAAGGAACTAGAAAGAGTAGAGCAAACAAACCCCAAAATAAACAGAGGGAAGGAAATAGTGAAGATCAAAGTGGAAACAAATGAAATAGAAACTTTAAAAAACAATAGAGGACATTAATAAAACTAAGAACTGGTCTTTGACTAGATAAACATATTGTCAGAACTTCAGCCAAACTCACTGAGAAAAAAAGAGAGTGACTAAATGAGTAAAACTGTAAATGAAGGAGAAGTTGTAACTGATAGCACAGAACTGCAAAGAATCATCGAAGAATACTCCTGACAATTCTATGCCAACAAATGTGACTATCTGGAAGAAAGGGATGAATTTCTAGAAGCATATAAACTTCCAAAACTGGATCAGGAAGAAATAGAAATTCTAAACAGACTGATTACTAGCAATAAAACTGAAGTGGTAATTGAAAACTCCCAACAAATTGAAGTCCGGATGACTTCACAGGTGAATTCTGCCAAACATTCGAAGAAGAATTAATGCCTGTCCTTCTTAAACTATTTCAAAATATTGAAGAGGAGGGATACTCCTAAACTCATTCTGCAAAACCTGGATTACCCTGACACCAAAACCAAACAAAGAAATTGAAAAAAAAAATGTACAGGCCAATATCATTGATGAACACAGATACAGAAATTCTCGACCCAGTATTAGCAGATCAGGTCTAACAACGCAGTAAGAAGATCACACACGTGACCTGGTGGAATTCACCCGGGGGTGCACGGATGGCGCGGCATCTGTAAATCCGTGTGAGACACACAGCAACAAAAAATAAGGATGACACCTGATGATCACCTCAGGACCTCCAGAAATTGCATTTGTCAAGATCCAGCATCCTTCCATGATTTAAAAAAATCTCAACAAAGTGGATCTAAAAGTAACATATCTCAACAAATTAAGGTTATTTGTGAGAACCTCTCCCCCGCCGCTCATATACTCAATGGTGAGAAGCTGAAAGCTTTGTCTCTAAGATCAGGAACAAGACAAGGATGCCCACTCTCACCACACTTACTCAACATAGCATTAGAAGTGCTAGCCACAGCAGTGAGAGAAGAAAAAGAAATAAATGGCATCCACATTGGAAAGGAAGAACTCTTATTATTTCCAGATGACATGACACTATGTATGGAAAACCCTAAAGACTCCACCAAACACTGTTTTAGAACTAATAAATGATTTCAGTCATGGTGCAGGTTTCAGAACCAATGTACAGAAATCGGTTGTATTCCAATAATGAACAACCAGACAGAGAATTAAGAAAACAATCCTATTTATAATTGCCTCAAAAAGCATGCAGTGCCTAGGAAAAAATTTAACAAAAGAGGTAAGAAAGACCTGTAGTGTGAAAATTATAAGACAGTGAAGAAGTTGAAGACGATACAAACAAATGAAAGGGTACACCTTGGTCTTTGATCGGAAGAATTGATATTGTTAAAATATCCTTACTTTCTAATGCAGTATACAGGTTAAATGCAATCCCTGTTAAAATACCAGTGTCGTTCTTCTCGGAATTAGAACAACGAACATTAAAATTTACAGGAACCACCGCAGGCCCCAGCCAGCTAAAGAAACCTTAGAAAGGAACCAAGCGGGAGGTATCACGCGTGCTCCCTGACATGCAGGTCGGCGGGGTAGAGCTGAGAGCCCAGACACGAACGCACACGTGGTCGGTGAACGCACGAGGAGGAGGCGAGGCTGGACGGCGGGGCTCAGACAGCCTCTTCAGTGTGTGGGACTGGGGAAACCATACAGATCCGTGCAAGAAAGTGAATTTGGACCACTTTCTCACACCACATACAAAAATAAACTCAAAACCAGAAACCGTAATGCCACTGGACGAAGACACGGGCAGTAAATCCTTTGACATGGACATTGCTGTTGGCGGTGTCTTTTCGGGTGTGTCTGCTTGGACAAGGGCAACGAAAGCAAAAATGAACAAATGGAACTAACTCAAACTAAGAGATTTGCACAGCAAAGGAAACCGTCAACAAAATGGAAAGATAACCTACTAAATTTGGCAAGATATTCACAAAGGATACATCCGATAAGGGGCTAATATCCAGTGGCATATTAAGGAACTCAGCTAATAAGGAACTCATACAACATAACTCCCAACCCCCCCCCCAAAAAAATCCAGTTAAAAGATGAGCGGCAGATGTGAATAGACATTCCTCCAAAGAGGACACACAGATGGCCACCAGACGCGTGAAAAGATGCTCAACGTCAGCAGGCGTCAGAGAAATGCAAATTAAAACCACGAGTCGGTGCCTGCCGCCGGTAGGAATGACTTTCATTAATAAGGCAAAAAATAACAAATGTTGGCGAGGATGTGGAGAAAAAGGAACCCTCACACACTGTGGGTAGGATTGCAAATTAGTGCATTCACTACGGAAAATAGTATTGAGATTCCTCAAAAAATTAAAGAGATGCCATATGCAATTCCAGCAGTTCCACTTCTGGGTGCTTACCTGAGGAAAACAAAATCACTAATTCGAAAAGATGTGTGCACGCATGATGAACAATCATTGCATCACTGGTATTTAGCCACGACGTGGAGGCAAGCTAGATGTCCCGTCAGTGGGTGCGCGCATGCAGAAGGAGGCGTGTGTCTGTAGAACCGAGTGGTATTCGTCAGTAAGGGAGACTATTCCGGCCACTTACAGCGGCACAGTGGACCTGGGAGGCGTTGTGCCAAGTGAATAAGACGGAGAAAGGCAAAGGCACACTGTGTGATACCACTTACGTGTGGGATCTACAGAAAATGGAACAAAACAAAACAAACAAAGGAGAGACCCATAGAGAGCACATTTGTGGCTGTCAAAGCGGGGGGCCGGGGAATGGAAAAGTGTAAACAGACGCAAACAAGAAACGAAATGGCTGTGAC